CCCCGGAGGTGCGGGGAGTCAGGAGGCTGGGGGGGTCTGGCGGGGAGCCGTGGACAGGGTGGGGGCTCGGAGGGCGCCTGGGCGCCGGGCCGTGAGTCCTCAGGCCGGCAGCAGGCGGGGTGTGGAGTCGGAGGCCCCGGGCTGCCCTGCAGCCTGCGCGGGCCAGAGGCCTCGAGGCCTGGGAGCCCTTCCAGCTGGGCCTCCCTCTCGCCCAGGCCGGGTGCAGCAGCGCGATCCTGGCTCACCACAGCCTCCTGCTCCTGTGCTCAGTGAGCCTCCCGCCTCAGCCTCCCAAGTCGCTGGGACCTCAGGTGCGCACCACTGCGCCTGGCGATGTTTCTGGTTTTTGTAGACGCGGGTCAACGAGAAAAACGCCCCGTCCACTGGGCCCACGGCTCCCCGTTTCCCCATCCCCTCCCCCATCTTTGTGAGCGTGCACGTGCCTGCCCTGCCAGGTGCCCCGCGTCTCCCTGTCTGTCGGAAGCGGCCCTGTGCCCTCCCCGGGGAGCGTGGCCATGCCACACTCCCCGCATGGCGAGCCCTCACCAGGACGGAAAGGCTTCATCTCTCTTGAATGAAGCTTGCTAGGCTGTCCTCCTCGGCGATACAGGTTTTCTGTGTTCATTTTGTTCCCTGTGGCGTATATTTTAAAATCGGACAGAAGTTTGAATTCCCGATCCGGTTGCAGCGAAACCCTCGAAAGCTGTTTGGCGAGGGAGGCGATCCGCGTCTGAGAAGGCCGTGGACGCTTCCACCGGTCCTCGCTCTGGGGGCACTTGGGACAGGGCTCGCTCACAGAGCGGCTCGAGTCCAGCCCGCTGGCGGGACGTCCTTGTGCACACACAGACGTTCACGCGTGCGAGTGCGCGCTCGGGCATGTGCTTTCCCTCTGCGCTGGGTGTGCTTGCGCCTGCCACCCGTTGGCGGTGATGCAGAGTGACTTTCGGGCGAAGCCCACGGGTGCGCCACTCGCAGTCACTTTTTGGGAGAACCCGAGAGACTCCTTAGCTCTGCTCACGCTGTGGGGCCCCGGCCCTCGGGTCTGACGCTGGCCCGAGGGCGGGTCCTCAGACCTGGGTCGAGCGCCTTCTGGACGGGGCCTGTGCTCGGGAGGAGGCGGCGTGCCTCTCACGTGTCTCCTCCTCGCAGCGGAGAGAGGGCGCTCGACGGGAGGTGGCACCAGCCGGGCAGAAGGCAGGCGACGATGCCGAGCCAGAAGGGAAGGCTCCCGTGCCGTTGTCTTAGAACTTCAGCACGCGTGTCTGGCGACGAAACTCGGCGCGGACTGGGGTCGGCCCAGCCTTGGGCCTCCTGGGGCCGACTCGGCACAGGCTGTGTGTGTGTGGGGCGGCCTGGCCGCCGGTGCACAGCC